GCTGCTCGCATAAAAGAAAAATCTACGAATTCAACATGCGGAAACCATGGCTTCCCTTGGGCAGTATCATCAGAAGGCATAGTATACATTTTAACTGCTATGCTGATGACACCCAGCTTTATCTATGAAGACAGATAACACACACCAGGAATGTCTTAAAACTAAATTAAGTCACACACAATCAAGTAGGAAACAACAACTGAATCTTTATCTTGTATTTCACTCAATATAACCACAAAGAAGTAGATTTGCAATGCATTTTCTGTAAAGCATGGCTTCTAAAAAAAAGTTTAACCTGTTACAGAAACATTTTCATTGCTTTTGAAACCAGTAAGGTGCCCTGCTTTTAGTCTATCCGCTTCAGGATAGAATAGAAAACCGAAAAACTTCATGTCATGAAGTCAATCATTGCCAGAGCAGAACAATATATACAGGTTAAGACATCCTCAGTAACCACACTGCAGATGATAGCTTTTAGTTGGCTTTGATGGTTGTGTCTATCCAGTCCTTAAACTTAGACACTCGAGCGTAGACACCAGGTTTCATGGCATTGGCGCAGCCCAGACCCCACGATGTGACACCCTGCACGACAAACTTGTTCTGCTCATAGCACACCAGAGGACCACCGCTGTCACCCTACAGGAGGAGAACACATGTGTAGAAATAACTACAATTTTTGATTATGTTTAATTTAACAGCTGCTGAAACCAGCCTAGAAAAGAGTAGGAAACACGAAGGAAGTTGGGTTTTTTCTGCATTATTGTGTAAGCAATAAACTAGTGCTTATTTGCCAAATAAACAAACTATTTGCAATATTAAAAATCTCTTTCTTAGAAAGTAAACATATTTGTGTTAAAATGATGGGGGTAAAAGTGAGAATGGCTCAGGAAATAAGCCAAATACCTGAAACTACAAAAACAAAACATTCGTATTTAGTTATTTCCCATCCATTTTAGAAGCAACATAAATTTTCTATATCTACAGTCCACACTGTAAATATTTGGGCTTGTTTTTCCATGTTTCCATGTTTAATGAATGTGTATGTTTAATCAAAATATGTTTGTGCCAATACTGAAAGTGATGTGTGCTGTTTAGCCTTTTTAACACACAATAGACAAAGTCAAGTGTTTATTTAAATCCTCAAGAGTGTTGATGACACTCTTTGCAGCCATGCAAATAACCTTTGATCTTTGTCTTTAACTTCTGCTACTCGGGTTGACTGAAATTCTCCAACATTTCTATAATAATTTTCTGGAAAGAACTCCAATAACTCTGGCAAACCAAAGAACTTCCTCTGTGAACTTTTGCAGAATCACCTGATAAAAAATGTCTGATCTTTAACCTCCCAGCTCAATAGTGAAAAGTCTGTTTGTTGCTGGAGTGAAATTGATGTTTGAATGACACAAACAGCTGACCACTGCATTCACCAAAGTGAGTGAGCTGCTTTCTGTATGCTCCATCAAAGCAGCTCTTTCACCTCACACACTTGAAGAATTTTCAGTATTTGAAACTGCTTACCTGCTGAGTGCTACATGTGAGAAAGGACAGCTGTGAAAAATAGCCCAAGCCGGTTTTCCCCAAATGATCTTAAATCCATGTGTAAGAAAGCAAATTCATAATATTTGATTCTTATATTTTTCATTTGCATAGCCACATCATTACTCCTCATACTGTTTGAGAACTTCAGCTTGAAAGATGTCAAACTATGAGTGAGCTCTTTTTAATTTTCTTTTTCAAGGACAACATATCCCTGCAACAAACCCTTGCAACTGGGTACGCCATGTTAAAACTGCCCTTTTCCCCCACACAGTTCTTTCTATGTTGATGTAAACCTATTCATATTAAAGCTACGACTTGGAATGTTAATGTGCTCAGATAATCCTTACTGTATAAACCACATATGGAAGAACAGATAGTTAAAACAAGTATGTCTAGTTTTAGCTGGGCTAACAGGTTTTATTTAATATAATTAAACATTCGTATCAAAAGCATAAATTACCTGTTATACAATCAGATTTTTCCAAGTATCGGATTATTGTACAGTTCCACATGCAAGTTATTTGATTTTGGTCATTTTATCTGTAAATTTCACAAATGTCAAAGCACCTTTGAGTTTATATTAAATTACATCAATGAGTGGAGAATAATTAACTGTTTGAATTTACTATAGAAACATTATTTACTATTACTAAATTCTATGTTGAACTGTTGTAAACAAATGAAACATTTATATATCTGATTCATTTTTTCAGTCATTAGCTTCTGGAAATCTATTAAAAATATTTCAGGTCAGTAAGATGAAGTAAAACACACACATTTTATAAACTTTCCCCAGTTTTCAAAGGTTTGTGTTTTTCATACCCGGCAGCTGTCCGCTCCTCCCTCGATATATCCGGCACACATCTCGTTGTTTTGAACTCTGCCGTTCAGGTATTCTGGTAGATTACACACCTTGTTCTCGATAATAGGAAAACCCTCTTCTTTCAGGACGCCATCGCCTCCTGTACCTGCCAACACACCTGTGTGTAATTACCTTCCTCCTCCTCATCACCATCGTTAGCAATACATGTACAGTGGAGTTTCTTGTGTTATAGAGCACTGACAATTATTTACAGTATTCAAAAAGCTTTTAAAAAACTTTTACAATTGACCAAACTGATAAACCTCCCTGTCCAAGATGTAATGTGTTTAATTAACAAAGAAGCATTAATTAGAAATTATGTTCAAAAATAGTAATTATTGCTGGTCGATATAGAGAGCCACAGTAAAGCTTATTGTTCAAATTCTGCCACTTGCTGGTGAAAGGTTTTCATTACACTCAATGATTTTCCTTCTGTGTCAATCATCTCTACACTGGCATTTCTAAAGTGTGCAAATGAGTCAGCTTACAGTGTATCATGAGTTGTAAAGCAACTGTGAAAACATTTCAAACATTTGTTTTAAACATTTTCTTTAATCAAGAACAAAAATGCTAGAAAAAGATGTAAATGGGTATCACTATAGCACTGATACATCTTTGTTAGAAAAAAACTAACTTCAAATGAAACAGAAGAAAATAAAACTTGTGAAACAGTGGCTGTTATCAACAAGCAAATCCTGCCTACTTGATGTCCCACCTATGTTTACGAGGACCAGATGTGGCTTCAAACAAACTTTGATTAAAAGCACATAAACGTGTGATTTGTATCAGTTTGTATCAGCCAGTTTTTACTCTGTCATTACAATAAGATCCACAGACATTTAAAAAAAAAAAAAGTACACATCTATGTGACGTACCTTGAGTCTCACCCCATCCAGTTACAAAACACTCTGCTGCACTGGAAACTATATAGTCCTTTTCTGGGAGACAAGCTGGCTGCACGTTATCATTTATTATTGCAGGGCTGAAAGAAATACAAATATCTTTAATGGCATTCACAAGATCAAACTCGTGTCAACAAGTTACTTATTTTTCTGCATACTCAGTTCCAAAAAGGTTGGGACACTGAGCCAAATGTAAATAAGTTAATATCACATAATATAATATAACATTTTTAATGCATGGGTGTTACCATTTTATTCCTAGTATGTATCATATTGTTACCAGTTTGTCACTAAGCTATTGCTAATTGGTTTAACTCATGGGGATACTTTTGCTCCTATATTATTACACAATTACATACATTTTAATGTAATATTATTCCAGTATGATTACTCTTCATACAAGATAACACTTTTACATTACTTCCACATTATTGGCTACTTGTTTCCACCTTATTACCCCACTATTATGATAGTATAAGCAAGCTGTAATAGACGGTGCTACCCATTCACGGCTAATTATAGATAAATTTGACTGATAGCACTATTGGTTTTTTTTTTTCACACTTTCTTTTCATATATATTGTGATAATTGTAATATCAGATGGATAACTAAATAATTAATAGACAGTATCTGTATGCTGGATTAAAGTATGAGAGCCTGTTTTCTAACAAATCTGGTAGCTGAGTGTCAGTGTTAATACTTTCAAAAACACATATTTCATCTATGTTTCAGTCCTTCAGGTTAGCTAAGATCAAAGTTCAGATCTGCACCAAGTTGTTTGTGTAATATCATTAGTAGCTGATCCAGGATGATTAGACCCATACTGACCTCTCTAGTTTAAGCAGAGCAATATCTGCTCTGTTTGGTCCCATTACTATTTTCTCAAGTCTCCTCTCTTGTTTCGATGGCTCATTGCCTCTCTCCGTGTGGATACCCAGGAATACCTTGTAGGCTGAAGGCTGAATGGAGCTGGTGGAATAATCAATCACTGTTTGAGTTATTGCAGAATTTGATTTTAATTGTTAATGGTGGTCCTGTTCCTACCTCTCGAAGCAGTGTGCAGCAGAAAGGACCCACTGAGGGTCGATCAGAGTTCCTCCGCAGACATGTTTTCCTATACTAGTAGAAAGAGAAACAGATGTTTGTTTCACAATGTACAGACGAGATGCAGCAGCAGCTTGCTTTCAAAAACAAATGAACTAAAAAGTGAACAGACAAACAAAACCCAGGAAAAAATAAATACAAAAAAATGTAACATATCGCTATTAACATTCAATGTATTTATTTCTATAACAACAAGAACAAGTCTTTACAGTATTTACAGTTAACAGTCAAAAGTATTTAAATTACTCTGTACATGTTATATTATGAATGTAAGTCCTTTTGGTGTTATTTTCTCACCTGGTTCGGAGGCTGATTTGCCAGGGCCATGAGTGAGGATTCGACACACAGCCGCCGACAAGACGACTAAAACAACGTTTTGGTTTGATTACTGGTGATCCGCACTTCATTTCAACTATAAAGCAGTAGTTCATTGTCATGAATTCTCAGAAGATGAGTGAAACAAAAACACTGAATTAGTTTAAACTTTATAGTCTCATTAGCAACAAGCCAACGGAAAAGTTTGCACAAAAATAGGTTTATTAATCCATTTTACTCAGTAAATGGATTTTATCTGGTATCTCTAGCATGTCTTGGTGCATGGACAAGACATGCTACAATACATCTGTAACACGGTGCTGAACAATAATTCAGCACCGTGTTACAGATGTATTGCCTCACAGTATCAAAGTCATGTGCTGGGATCCATCAGCTGGCTGTGTGAACATGTTCCATTGCGTTTTAGGTTACTGTAGATTTAAGACTAATTAAGACTGGACATCTCTATGTGGTAATCCTGCACTTTTTACCCCCTGAAATCTGGGACAGGCTCCAGTCTTCCCACATTATTGAGATCAAGAGATTCTGCTCTTTTGGTTTGGCTTTGGCTCTTATGGCCTCATTTAGCATCACTCTGTGCCTTCTATTTATGTCTAATTTAGCAAATATGAATGGTTTGTGTTTTTGTAAGCAATTTTTTACTGTTAAATTAAGTCTTATTTTTGTGTATTTACAACTACTGGGGAGAACAAACATGGGGTTTGAGGCCTGGACAGAAATGTTTTGTTTTCCACAGTGGAAAATAGCTAGAGGTCAATGGGTATCATCTCAGTCAAGTCCTAATCTGTTTGTCTGGGGTGATTTGTTTTGGTTTGAATTGCAAAAGGCCATGGTACACCTGCAGCAGAAGTACAACTGCACAGACTGTTGAACAGTTCTGAGAAGTATTTTTAGGTTTGTTGTTGATCCTGCTCTGATGAATATTTTCATTTGTGTACCTGGCCTGTATCACTACACTCACTGGCTTTAGAAAGTCTTCCCCCTACCATGTTTCCCATGATGGTATGATTGTAGTGTGTCTTTGCACATAGTGTGCCGATCAAAATAAAGTCCCAACCCTGTCTGCATGGATTCTCAGCCGAGCTGAACAGGATTTGGCTCTCCCAAACAAGTCAGCTCTTCACATTCATTTACTGTCATTTGTCTTTATCTTTAATTATCTGAAGTCCAAAGAGAAAAAAATATTTATTATCATCACTGGCACCTACTAGCTGCAAAGAGGTATTAGTCCTATTTCCACTTCTAAATAATGGGATTTATAGTGGCATGACAGAGCGGTGCACCATAGATAGAGACAGAGATTTTTTATTGTTGAGACAATGTGTGAATTTCTCTGACCAAAACAATATTTCTTTGATAGTTGCTAATCTCATTGAACTAACTGAGGTATTCACTGTTGTTAACATGGTTAGAATACCAGAACACATGTGGATAGAATCAGACCCACCATAGAGTCCAGTGGGTGACACAGGTGGAGATGAGTGAATGGAAAGCAAGGGTTACTACAGTCTGCAGTTCAGACTGAGCATCAGTCATAATGATAGAGTGGTTAAAAAAGTTGGTAGATGGTAACAAATTAAAATAAAACACACTGAATTTGAATGCCAACACAAACAATGTTCATATACCACAGTCAGGGATCTGGCAGTGTTCCCATATCGTGTCCCTATCAGTAGTGTAGCACCACGGTCCAATTATATCGTTGTCTGGATTTCTGCAGCTCTGATAGTGGACAGAGGAGTTAGAAACTAGAAAGAAATTCTGTTCTTACCACAAACAGTTTTTATTGCAACACCCACGCACTTACATTGCCTTCCAGACCCTTGGTGGGGTGAGTCTCTGGGGTGAAGCTGATGTGACTGTGAGGAGTCTGAGAACTCCACGCCTGGCACGTCACACCATTCGCAGTAACAGAGGTTGGACCTCGGTATGTCGCTCCATTTCCGATCTTGCAGTCTAAAACAGCCGCAGCGAAACAGGGGAAGTGAATGATAGGTCAAACAAACTGGCAAGGAAGCACAACATGTGACACTTAAAGGTGATTCACCTTTTTCCGGTGGAGTCTGGATGGCAATGGAGGCGATGTGTGACTGAGGAGAACTGACTTGTGAAGGTCTGACAGAGCATCTCTTCAAGTTGCAGTGCTCCCAGCGGACTGCGGGGTCTGTAGTGAAACACCAGGGAGCGTCGTCCCCATCAGGGTTCCTGCACAGATTCCCTCTGAGGTCCCTGTTGTAAAACAAAAAAGCCCCTGAAACTTTAAGACATCAACCTATTAAACAAGATATTTTAGAGTTAAGCCCAGAGAGGGGGCTTAATAAATAGATGGATCTAATTGGGGTTGGAAAAAAAGTTTTTTGTTTTTATGCCAGTCAGAATTTTGACTGCTAAAAATTTTCAAAAATTAAAATTCATGGATTTTTACCACATAGGTTTAAGGTACATCTTCAACATACTAACATTCTTCTTGTATGTAGTTTTTTTTATAGTTTTTTTCCCCCTCTCAAGGTTAGCTGTCCTATTCTCTTGTGTCATCCTGTTGTGTTAGCCATAAAAACTGAATGTGTTTAATGCTTACGCATTAGGGTAGGCTTCTGGAGTTTTGTAATGTCTGTGAGGAGTCATGGAGCTCCAACTTTGACATTTTTTTCCACTGATGGTCTCTGATATTATGCCCCGATAAGTCAAACCGCTCCCTTCATAGCAGTCTACCTCATTTGGGAGGATGACTGGATCACCTGCAGTAAGAGATATTGAAAGGGGGAAGATTCACTCATTTTTGAAACACAAGGACGAGATAGATTAACTAACACTATACCTTGTGTGCGTGCAACCCCACACCGTGGCACGTTGCAGTACTCCCAGCGTTTGCCGGTGTCAGTTGTGTAGCACCAGGGCATCAGTTCATGGTTGGGGTTACGACAGTAGTTATTATCCAGACCTCTGACAAAGAAGATGAAAACATAAAAACATATTTGCACTGAAAAAAGAATCTTGAACAGATTTCTTCTTTCTTTTCTCATATTTTTCTCATAAATGTTACTGAATACATTCAATGAACATTTCAAACCATCTAATGGAAAGTAATATTAAACACTTTCTTTTTTGTTCTTTTTCCAGTTCTTTTTACATAAAAAGTATGCAGTGTTTACTTAATCTAAAAATTACATCTCAAATATGATGCAAAGAATGTCAAATTGTAAACAAAGTTTCCTTTCTTTCATTTATACATAGATATGTTTGGTAATTAACAGATGTAATTATTGAAGTTTTCAACATAAAAATGCCAAGCAATATAAATGTTTTTTGCTTTGTTTTTTAAACTCATGTCTGCAAGCATTAGTAAGATGACATCATAATGGCAACATGTGTCTGCAGAGTTGTCCGCCATATTAGATTGTCACGGGCTGGGTGTGTGACCCAGCATTTTGTGTTTATTTTCTGTATTGTTGACTTATGTTTTTACTGAAGATATGTTTAGTTCTTGTGGCTTCTATTATTTGGATATGTTTGAGGTTTGTTGTAGCATGATATTATTTTGTTCGATTCATTTTTTTTTTTTGCAGGTGTTTTCTGAAGTTGCAGTTCGTTTGGCCTCTCAGGCCCACCGTATAATCTTCTGCATTCAGTACAGAATTTATGGTATTATACAAAATACAAGGGTTATGTGAATTAACAGCAATAAGTTGAGAAAAATAGGAGTTTTGGGCCGTCTTTACTGCCTACTGGTAAGCTTTTCACCATCCTGGGTCGGTGCTTTACCCTTCAGAGTTCCACATGTAACCCAGTTCCTAAAATCATCTTAAACAAAAAAGAAGAGAAAATAAAACATTTGATGTTCACCCACTTGATGGGTTGATGAGATCTGATGAGAGCTTATTGTTTTATTTTTGTTTTTAACTTTGAACTTTTAACGTTGTACAACAAGACTGAACTGATGATGATTGAATTAATGATAGCTGATCTGAATAGTAGTTACTGCACTGTGACACTACTTTAGGTTAATTTGTGAGAGTTATTCTTAAATTGTTTGTGACATATATTTGACCATTGTTTATAGGTCAGGTTTTTATATGGGATGAATCCAAAGACCAGGTCAGTGATTCCAGAACCCAGAGTGTTCCAGTGTTCACTGGACGGC